TCACATTTCCTTTGACAAATGTTAAAATAAAACCGATTAGGAATATCGTCCAGTTTCCTGTTTTATTGATTTTATTCTTCATTTTGAAATACTCTGATTAACATCAACCTTTGATTTCACCCAAATGAGCCTTTATTATCTATAACAAAAAAAAGAGACAGAAAAGTTTTAGAATTAAAACATAATCTTAGCGTTAAGAGTTTTCTATGTTCTAAAACAGATTATTTGATGATGCACAACTGCTTGTGATATTTTTTCCTTGGCAATGTAATTCACCAAATGTGGGTGGGGTTGGGGAAGCTCTCCGAGTCATTCATTAATTTTTATTTAGCCTTTTATAAAAATCACATTACAATTTGCACATACAGTAAAATTAAAATTCACAATACAGAATAAAACTGAAAATCTAAGGAGGCAAGGATTAACAAACGCAATTAAAATCACTGTAGCTCACATGCTAGTTAATCCATCCTTAGAGAAACAGCAATTTAAAATAGAAGATATAATATATATAAGAAAGAAAAACAGAAGAAATAAAAAAATGAGACTTAATCATTATTGCAAAAAGAAAAAAAAAGAATTTAAAATTATAAGATTAAAAAGGGGAAAAAAAGTAATAAAAATACACAAATTAAAAAAAAAACCCAAAAATAAAATCAATATACATACAGTAGACCAGGGGCGTGGGCTGGGGATTTGCGGGAGGTGTGGCCCAAAAGTTCCTCTGGTGTAGGCATAAGCCGCTGGTGTAGGCATAAGCCTATGCCTGCCAAGTACAGTACTACTATGAAAAATTATACAGATACAGTAGTTTTCATCACAAACTTGTCAAACTTGGTCACAGTGTTCCATGAACAGAATTGAATTTTGAAGATTCAAAGGTCAAAATCAACAAAAAAATAAAGTTTGCCGTATGGAAGTGTGTGTGTGCTTATACAGTCTCGCCGATAAAGTGTAAACACACATATGACCATTAATTCCCAAATGATATGTGAAAACAGTTTGGTGTAGTGTTTTTCACACTACCGGCCCCAGGTTGAAATCCCATAGTCTCTATTTTTTTCATGGGGACAATAGGCCTCTATGCGTGGAAAATTTATACTGAGGGAACTATGGTGTGGACGGAGGAATGCACTCTCCAAGTGCTCTCTAGTTTCGAAATAAATAGTGTATTGTTTTCCTTCCTTATGGTTTACGTGCCGGCGCTAATGTGCCCTTGTACTGGTACGGCCGTCATTCTTCTCCACTAGCCCTAGGCGAATTCGCCCAAAATGGGTTTTTTTTTTTCACGCATGGGCAGTTTATTAATTAACTACAAAGTTCTTTACTGCGAATGCTTATGACTACAGTATGAGCAAAAATTATGATTATTTGCACTATTTGGGAGGACTGCATAAAACTTTTTGTGCCAGTGAATTGCGACATTAAAACGGACTCTGGTATCGACACATGAAAAATGTGCAATAAACACTAGGCGTAGAAAGAAACGCTATCTCGCTCTTTTATATTATTCCTAAACTTTGAAGAAAAATTTAGTTAATGTAATGAGATAAAAAAAAAGAGCGTTTAATGTCTGAGCAGAAAAGAAAAAAAAAAAATCTTAAACCAGCATTCTTCCATACAAGTGCATTATTTAAAGAACTAAGGCCTAGGCCCTAGCTTACCTATCCTACTAGGCCTAGGCTAGACCTAGTCCTAGGGCGGCCAGCTAGGCTTAGGGCCTAGACCTCCTAGGCTTATGAATATAAAAAAAGCATGAAACGGCTTTTAATTTGTACAGCATGCAATTATAAATTTATTGATAATTTTAAAGTGTATGGAAAATATAAATATGAAAATACATATTTCCTTTACAATATTATTATAAACATGATCAATATTATTATAAACATGATCAGAACATTTATGGTAAATGGAAATGTAACAGACAAGAAAAAAGAATGTATGCGAAACTAATCTATTGACTATAGGCCTTATTCCATGCATTATTTGATTCAAGCATAATAATCTTGGGTATTTTGACTTGGTCTTGGGTTCTTGGGTATTCCGTTGAAATCCTTGGGTATTTTTATTTTTACTATGAAAATTAAATATTTTTGTCATAGAGGAAGAATTAAGAAGTAACAAAGTATATGTCAGTCCATTCAAGTAAGCATCTCAACGAAGTGCACATAACATTGTTAATTGACTGTTAATTGCTATAAACATGGGTTCAGAATTGTTTAATTGTGATTTGCGTTGCCATTGATCTTACTTAATTAATGCATTACATAATAAAATTGATCACTGATCTACTGATAACACTGGCCGACTGAGAGCGTATTTTTCTATCTGTATTATCCCCTCATGAATATTAATTTTAATAATTAACACAAACAATTACAATAAAAATGGTTTATAAATTGAACTAAAAGGGAAACTATATATGCGAAAAACACGTTTTTTTTTCAAATTTTAATGCATTTTCAGGAAGCTTGGGTAATTTTGTGGAATTTTTGCTGAATCTTGGGTAATTTCGACCCAGTCATTGGATTTGTCAAAAATTGTGAGTGGTCACGCTGATTGCAGATCACCCGCGATGAGCGGTGAAACGAGAATGATGTACAGTTCTGGGAAACTAGAACACCAAAAAGTACAATATTGTTTGACTTAGTACTGTTATCGATAAATAGGCTTATGGTTCCATTTAGTAAAGAGTTTCATTTAGCTAGGCCTATGTATAACCATTATCAAACAAGGACTGATTCCACCAAACTCTTGGCATGCCTCTAGGCCTTACTTAAATTCTTCGCTTGGCGAAAAATCTAAGCAAGCCTGCTCTGCCTTGCTTGGATTCTGCTTTTCACGGCAGCTGCTCTGGTGACATTGATCTAAGTGGCATAGGCCTATATCAGTCATAAACTTAGCCTAGTTCCTCCGTCATCATACCGTCTGAACTTCATAATCCCTACATCCCAAGTTTTATTCCAAGAAGTTCGAAATAATACCAAGCTTTACAATCCCACCAAAATATTCATACAATTTGAATGCACAAAACTTTTCGTAAGGCTAGACTTCGTCACTGTTATGGTACAGAATCTAGGCCTAGATCGAGAGAATAATTTTCCCCTTTGTGATTATTACAATTGAGTCAAATTTTTCCAATAATTTGGATGCAGACCTTAATACTGTAATAGAAAAATAGGCGTACCACTCAATAATAAAAGTCATGTCATTATATAGCCTTATCAAGCAAGGCATCATCCTCAGGACTTGGGCCAAGGCACATGTATGTATACACACACTACTGCTAGTCTTTGGTAATCTATTTATATGAAAACACTTGCAATAAAAAAAATGAATATACTGTAAACAAGAGAATTCATACAGGTCTACTTTTACTATAAAGTGGAACAATACGCCTATTTAAGGATGACAGTAAAGTCAAACAATATTGTACTTTTGATGTTCTAATTTCCCAGTACTGTACAATGCTCATTGCGGGTGATATGCAATGCCAGTCTTCAAAAAATGACGTCACGCACATTCTGGCATTTCATTGGGTGATGGTGACGTAATGCCATTTACCGTACCTTTAGCAAAACGAAGTAGAAATACGGTACCGTATCTCTAGCCACGGCGTATATTAAATTGAGCGTTTTCGCAACTCCATTGGCGCTCCATGTATTTGTTGAAAACAAACCGCCACCGAAATGAAGCGCGACCGAAATGACCTGTATTCCCTAGGCCTGGGCCTAGCTTTATTATTCTACTATCTTACCTCAATCAGGCCAGGGAGACCAGCCTCAACAACTCCCTGCCTCAACAATTAGGCTTCCTCTATGCTCTCCGAATGCCTCCTGGGACTAGGCCTATAGGCTATACCAATATTAAATCACGAATATGCTCGTCCTATGATGTAGGTAGAAATAGGCTTAGGCCAATAATACTATTAATAGTACCGCCAAGACATATCTGAAATGACTCAGTTTTAAACGGGATTTTAAACGTAAAGCAGATATAAAAATAGGTTGGATGGAAATTCCATTCAAACAAACAGCGTGACGTCGACCACTCACGTCTGGATATACTTAGCAACAGAAGGGCGCCCTGTACGTTGGGCACGAAGTATAGGAAACTTGCATGGTTAAAAAGAAGGGCGCCGCCTACGTTGGGCACGACTTCCGCGAGAACTCTATCTTGTATTTCTAGTATCTTTGATATACCAATGACTGGAACGAAATTCCCCAAGATTCAGCAAAAATTGCCCAAAATTACTCAAGCTTCCTGAAAATGCATTAAAATTTGAAAAAAAAAAACAAAAAACAACGTGTTTTTCGCATGTATAGTTTCTCTTTTAGTTCAATTTATAACCCATTTTTTTTATTGTAATTGTTTGTGTTAATTATTAAAATTAATATTCATGAGGTTATACGGATAGAAAAATACGCCCTCAGTCGGCCAGTGTTATCAGTAGATCAGTGATCAAATTTTAGTATGTAATGCATTAATTAGGTAAGATCAATGGCAACGCAAATCACAAACTGTAGGGGGCGTCCCATTTTTCGTATTCCCACCATGCAATTCGGTGGAACACGGTGGAACACTTTTTTTGTGTGGAGAACTCTATCTTGTATTTCTAGTATCTTTGATTCAAACAAACAGCGTGACGTCGACCACTCACGTCTGGATATACTTAGCAACAGAAGGGCGCCCTGTACGTTGGGCACGAAGTATAGGAAACTTGCATGGTTAAAAAGAAGGGCGCCGCCTACGTTGGGCACGACTTCCGCGAGAACTCTTTCTTGTATTTCTAGTATCTTTGATATACCAATGACTGGAACGAAATTCCCCAAGATTCAGCAAAAATTGCCCAAAATTACCCAAGCTTCCTGAAAATGCATTAAAATTTGAAAAAAACCCCATGTATAGTTTCCCTTTTAGTTCAACCAGGGAGTTGTTCTAAATAACAACTCCCTGGTTCAATTTATAAACCATTTTTTATTGTAATTGTTTGTGTTAAAGCCCCATTCCCGGCAAAATTTCAATTTTTTAAAAAAATCTAATTTTTGTATAATGTTATAAAGATTTATAAATATAATACGGAATTGCTAGTTTAACTGAATTTAGACATTCCTAAGAATGAAAAAGATGTAAAATAAGACTGAAATTTGATTTTTTGTGTTCCACACAAAAAATAAATGCGGATGAATTTTCGTGTTTGATTTTGCGACAGGTCGTGAGAAGAAATATCGTAGGCGCCGAAAACATTAGCCTAACCAACGCTGCTAGGCCTAGCCTTACCTCGATTTAGGTTCTGTTATCACACATAAAAACGGCCGACATGATATTTTCCGTTGCTAGTATTGACACTTGTGAATATAATATTTCATAGGAATTATTTCAAATTTGTTAAAAAACTGATTCTGACTGAGATTTGGACACTTAAACAAACATATCTCAACCTAACCGAACGAACGCATTGTGCGAGATGCGAAGGAAAAAAAGTAATCTCACTAGAGAGGGCGCACTTCATTGACTATAAAGTATACATAAAAGCGAGAGTATTCCAGTGGATGCGATCTACAACCTCTGAATTTGCCTAGTAACGATGAATTCGTCGAGAAATGGTAATATTTTATGAGAAATAGTCTGTATTTCTCATTTTTTTTATTCTTTTGCGTAAAACTAAAATTCATGCCAATATTTTTCCATGATTTATAATAATTGGAGTAATGCAAATGTATATTTTCTAAAAAAGTCAATTTTTAGTGAAATTTTGCCGGGAATGGGGCTTTAATTATTAAAATTAATATTCATGAGGTGATAATACAGATAGAAAAATACGCCCTCAGTCGGCCAGTATTATCAGTAGATCAGTGATCAAGTTTTATTATGTAATGCATTAATTAGGTAAGATCAATGGCAACGCAAATCACAAATAAACAATTCTGAACCCATGTTTATAGCAATTAACAGTCAATTAACAATGCTATGTGCACTTCGTTGAGATTTGCTTACTTGAATGGACCATGGAGGAAATATATTAAGAATATTTCCTCCATGAATGGACTGACATAATACTTTGTTACTTCTTAATTCTTCCTCTATGACAAAAATATTTAATTTTCTTAGTAAAAATAAAATACCCAAGGATTTGAACGGAATACCCAAGAACCCAAGACCAAGTCAAAATACCCAAGATCTTGGGTAAATACCCAAGCAGTGGTCACACTGGACGGTTCTACTTATTAGCAGGGGTGGCGCGTGGTCTGGTGGTAGGGAGGGGCTGTGGGGTGTAGAGTTCCCCGCCACCACCTTGCGCCTCCCCTGATTTTTGGAGGAAGTCGAAGCACAATAGAATATACTTGTTCATTTTAATTGATTATTTATTGTTTTTACGATTTATTTACTCCCTCTATAAATGTTCATACACAGCCTCAGACTACGTGTTTATTTTGATCCAAAATAATAAAAGCAAAAAACAGAAAAATGTAACAGTATCACAAACTGAAAAAAGAGAATGGATGGGAGACCCTTATTATGGCTGGAACAGCCGCTAGCATAAGAGCCACCCATGAAAACTTCAAAATCTAAGATGTTGTGGCTAATATTAATTCAATCAGATCAGATTAATGCATATACAAAAAATTATCAAATGATGTGTGAATAATGTAATCTAAATCATCGAAAATATGTTTATTATGACCCATCAGAATGAAAAATTCCTCAAAATGTAGCGATCACATTAATTTGACACCACTATTTTGAATGACGTTGCAAACATCGCTAAGCGATCGCTGCTGATTTATATCTGTGAAAACAAATGAGACGACCTACAGCTACAAAAACTATTATGGCCTACTTTACAAATTATACTAGAAATTGCAAATTGCAAGTGAAGTGCTGCGAAGTACAACTACATAAAATGTTCTTCGAACAAAATTATTTATGCGAGTCAAGTGAAAATAATGAATAATAAAAATATAACAAATAATGTGAGCACGACCCATTGTCTATATTAGAACAGCGTTGGTACCGTGTACAATAGTGTTTTGCTGCAGTGACATCTCTCTGCTGGCGACTCGCTGCTGCTGGCGATGACTCGCTGCTTGCGAATCGATCTGCGCATGTGTATAAAATGGTATTTATTTCCGAAAACACTATGCCAGTCTACAACAAGCGTCGCCTAAATGTAATAATTAGCACGTTGAATAGAGAAAACTATCTCCTAGCACATTCAAACTCTAGCACCTGACAAATGAGGAAGTAGGCTACCTCATGAAACAGCCTGTAATGCAATAAAATGTTGAATTTGTGTCCAAGCGGCATCT